TTTATTAAATAATTGCTAGAATAAAATAAGTGTCCTTTATCATAGTTGGAGGCTGCTAGAGCCATAATGATCACAATTCATTGTCGGAAGACAAAACTTCCAATTTTCATATCTTGGCTGAGTGAAAACTATCTTAGGAAATTACTATTCAAGGTTTTTTTTTCCTAACTGTGTTTTAATGTGATATTTAGACAAAATCATTTGTCCTGCTCAGCTTCTCTTCTCCTGCCCTTTGAAATGATAACAGCAACCTTTTTAATAGGATTGTTACATGGACTGCTGCTTAGTAATGTTCACAGCATTGTATCAATGCTAACAACCATGATGATGATTAAATAAAATTGCTTTGCCTTAATATAGTCAGTTCATATTACCTCTTTTTGCTCTTTAGCAGCATCTGTGCCCTGTGTTTTGGAATCACTCAGAGGAGAAGGCACAGGTGTCACAGGCAAACCATGTGGCGATTCAAATGTTTCAGGTTTCTGGAAACTGGGCATCTTTTTTAAGGTGTCCTTCAACTGCCTGTATTCTTCCACCTGAGACTAGAAATCAAATGTAACCATTAGATTTCACTGAGAGAGAAGCTGGTCTCAGTAATAAATGCAGGGAAGCAAGAGGCTCCAAGCTGATGCAGGTATTTTAACTAGACATGCACATTTGATCAAAAATGTCCATGTGCTAAAGCTATATCTTTCTATGCGGCAGAGTGCATCAGTTTAATACATTACAGCAGACATGCAAAGTCTAGCAGAAAATCCCCATAGCCCAGAAAGGGGATTAGTTTTTCATGCCACACGGAAGAAGAAACTGTCAATAGTGAATTATTACATCTTCTTTCAATCTTTGGAAGGAAAATAAAACCCCACCCACAAATAGAAAGCATCGTGGAATGAAATGGAAAGGAGGGACGGAGGAAGGGAGGGAAGAAGGAAGAAAGGAAGGAGAGAAGGGGAAGGAAAGGGAGGGGAAGGGGAATGGAGGGAAGGAAGGAAGGAAGAAAGGAAGGAAGGAGGGAGGGAGGGAGGGACTGTCTTGTTCAGTTGCCCATAAGGATAGGCCTTCCATTTTTTAACAAACATGTTCGTTTAAGAATGGATCAACCTCAGGACTTCTCCTTGGGAACTCTTGGAGAGAATCTGGAGAGAAAGAGATTGGGACCTATCTCCCTGCAAAATTCAGCCTGCTGCTGCCTATAATGTTTAAAAACAGTGACTCTTAATAAAATACATACAGAGAGAGAGAAAAAGGGGTGACAGAATAATTCCCTGAAACAAACTACTGATCATTCTCCTTACTAGGTCACAAGAGCAAGGCCTGGTGATGGAGCCACACTAATAGATACAATCTAGTTCAAAACTCCCTATAAATCCATGCAATGAAGGCTGCAGGTGAAGTTAACTTCAATAGCCTCACAGAAGGAAGACATGATTGAGTGAATGGAGTAGCAGTGTTTATTGGCTTTTTGTAATGTGCCTGTCTTATATCTGTGCCTAAGAGCTGTGGTGGCACAGTGGTTAGAAGGCAATATTGCAGGCTAATTCAGCTCACTGCCAGGAATTCAATCCTTACTGGTTCAAAGTTACTAAACCCTCCATCCTTCCAAGGTCGGTAAAATAAGGAGCCAGACTGTTGGAGGGGCAATATGCTGACTCTGTAAATCGCTTAGAGAGGGCTGTAAAGCACTGTGAAGCGGTATATAAGTCTAAGTGCTATTGCTATACAATATTTTAAGCATGAGGGACCACAATCACCATCTATCTAGCAAACATTTTACACCTTTCACTCTAAAACACCCAGTGAAATTATCAGTGCCAGAGAGCATGAGAAGAAATTATAAAACTACATAGATAAAAAATATAATTATTTTCACCAACTTAATCGCCAAATAGAGAGAGATTAAGTTTAAAGAGTTTTTAAAAAAAACAAAACAATTGCATCATTATCTTGGTAGAAAGAAAACCTTATACCATTTCAGACAAATGGTTGTCCAACCTGTTCTTAAAAAGCTCCAGTGTTATAATAACTACAATTCTGGAGGCAACTTGTTCTACTGATTAATTATTCTAACTGTCAGGAAATTTCTCCTTAGTTCTAGGTTGGTTCTCACAATTAGTTTCCATCCATTGCTTTTTGTCCTGCCTTCAGGTGTTTTGGAGAATAGATTGACCTCCTCTTCCATGTGGTAGTCCCTCAAATATTAGAGCACTGCTATCGTATCACCCCTACTTCTTCTTTTAATTAAACTAGACATACCCAATTCCTGAAACTATCCTTCATATGTTTTAGCCTCCAGTCCCTTAATCATCTTTGTTGCTCTTCTCTGCACTCTTTCTAGAGTTTCAAATTTCTTTTTATATCATGGCAACCAAAACTGGATGCTGAGGAAACAACTGGAATAGAATTCCTAAACCAGAGAGCCATGATGTTTCTCCCTATACTCCACCATGCCAGCATGTTTCCCTGTCCTCATCTACTTCCTGATATGAAAAACTCTCATCTCCAATCAGCAGCCGATAGGAAATTAAACCTTAAGAGCTTTTGAAAAGGCCCTGCTGATGTCAGTGATGACAGTTTTCACCTTAATGCCAAATAGAAGCCATTTAATCCAAATGTGGGAAAAGTACCATGACCAGCCTTTGCTGATAAAGCAGAAGCAATGGAATTGGCATCAATTGGGAGCCAAGGAGTTATGCCGTGTTCAAGGGATAGTTCTGAGCCTTGAGATTAGTTTCAGGGTAAAAAGATATGCAGACCTGCCATGTCTGTTCTCCCTTAAGGGAAAAAAAAAGATGTTATACATAAGAAGAGATGATATGGACAGGCAAAGCAAAACAGATAAGGGTTTTTTTTATGTTGATATCTGTTTATCCTTTTTTTTTCCTTTTTTGAAATTCAAATCATATACACACACAAAACAAGCTACAATCTGTTTATCAACATAGCTTCACTATGATTACAATAGGTTGAGGAAGATAAGATGGGAGATGGAGAGAGCAGGCCATGATAGGAAGCAGGAGAGGACAGTTGGCTCCCATGACACCTTCTCGCTGCCCAGCCTGATCCAAGGACTTATTAAGGCCTCTTTGGCTTTAGTTTTGCTAATATTTTATAATTGGGGCAGTAGATTAGGTATGCTGCTCCTTTTGTTTTTATTTCTCCTCAACAACATTTATTTATTTGTAAAATCTATTGGCTGCCCATCTTACTTCAGGCTAACAACATAATTACTGTTAGGTAAGAAATATTCATTATATTCAAGTGTAAATTACCTAGCTACAACTCTGGAAGAAATGAGGCAGAATCTAACAGTCAGAGTAGAATGAATAGAGAATGACCTTGAAGGACAGATGAAGAATCACTACCCAAGCAACAATTGGCTACAGGGAGGGCTGAATCTATTCCAAGCAACTAATTTGAGGAAACATCTCAACCCCCTCCCTGATTCACATGAAAATAAAATGAGAAGGGTGGGAGAATTTATTCAGTCTTGCAAGATGATTTTTACCAGTCTCAGACTATACAATTACAGTGATTCATTTAACAACCATGGCAAGAATGGTCATAAAATGGGGCAAAAGTCACTAAAACAACTGCCTCACTTAGCAACAGAAATGGTGGACTCAATTGTGGTTGTAAGTCGAGGACTACCTGCATATTACTAGAGCTGTTCTAATAAAAAAAAAATAGTTTGGCACTGATTTCTTAGCTTTATAATTCTGATGTAGCAGAAATCCTTCTAGGCATGCAGATCTTGCCCCAGAGGGTAGCTGGTTATTAATCAGAGAACCCAACTTGCATGCATAAAAGTTACGGTCAGCAGAAAAAAGAGAAGCAAGAAATATTAGAAGATTTATGGGGGTAAGGGGAAAGAAAGAAAGAAAACCACCACTGCTAATGCAATGCCGATCTGGTGGCTGACCTGCGCAGCTTTTAGTGCGCTCTTGTGTTCTTCCAGTGTCATTACAAGCTGGTTGTGTTGGGAGATTAAATTCTTATGCTGAAACTACACAAAAGGAAATACCACATCAAATGCGAGCCCAAGTGTTTCTTCAAAGCTTAAAAGATATTTCTTAAGGAAACTGCCAAGCACTGACTTCTCACATGCTTTTTAACCTTGCTTTTATTAAATATATAGCAAAGCCTCAGTTTAACACATAAATTTAAAAGAGTGGCTCTTTCTTGTTTCTCATTATTAAATCAAAGAGTATGTGATCTCCGGCACCATTGTTACACATTGTGACAAATTATGCAATTATAACAGGGTTTTCATTCATGCCATTTAAGTTCATTAATATGAGGTTACACTGTACACATTTTATCAAACTTCAATAAATGAAGGGTGAGTTTATGCAGTCACAACTAGAAAACATAGATTGAGAACATACTTAACCACGACTGGTCAATTTTAGTGTACAAGTTTGTTGCTTGGATATAGTCAACTGTGGGCAATTTAATGTGCCATCATTTAGAAAAATCACTTAGCAAGAAAAAAAATGCTAAAATTGGTTTTTTTTGTTCTTTATTAGCCTTATACATCAGAATCCAAATAGCGACTAAAGTTAAATAGGTTGTCTTTCCTAATTAAAATGAATTCCACAGAGGAAAGCTTAGTTTTATACTGTCCACATATATACAAACAAATTCAATTCATGTCAATTCAGTTCAGTTCTGTTCTCCTGTCCTGTCCTGTCCTACCCTATTAAACATACCAGCTAGTCTGTTCTCAAGATCAGTGGTTTTGTGCATGAATTTCTACAGAAAAGTATTATTCCTCATTTCCCATCAATAAAAATTATTTCCTGATACATTTCAGGAGAAAAAAGATTCTGAACTAACAAGGAAGTTTCTTCCACCTTCTAATGGATTAGACATTTCTATGAACTGCTGAAAAAAACCCATTAGTGTAATTATTGTATTGATTTCAATACACTACAAGCAACATTTATATGTTTTATTTATAAACTGAACACAGACAAATGTTCTCTGTAGATACTGCCTTTTTACTCTAGCCTTAAACTGATTCTGCAGCTCATAATTCTTAGAGAGTAGCGGGGAATAAAGCAAATCTGGAATTACAAGCTAAAATAATTAACCTGTGAACTATCTATGATCCATTTGGCAACAAGAAAGGCTTATGGAAGATTGCAAATTTGGAATGTTAATGGAGTAAATGGAAAGAGAATGGATGAATGAATAACTCGAAATAATGAAAGAAAGAAAAATAGGTAGGTTGTATGCCTCAGAATCTAAGAGATCTGAACGAATGTAGTTTGATCTTGTGCAGTGCGGTTGATGAATATATGCATGAATGTGAAAGTGTGAGTTCAGTTAGGAATAAAAGAGCTAAATTTGATGCCAAAAACTACGAACTAGTATTACCCGGACTGTTTTAAGGGTGTATGAAAATAGATAAATTTATAGGCAAGTGCTGCATGTTATGCTCCAGTGAACTGTGATAATGAAAAAATGATGAATGAATTCTGAGAAAAACTATGCAACATTCTGCGTGAATGCAGGCGGAGTGGGGGCAGGGTGGGAGTTATACAGGTGATGGGAATGCAAGGATGGGAATGAATCAAGCAGCTACAGAAAAATGTTCAGATTTGAAACTTTAGATATTCAAGATTGAACAAGAATGGTGATTGTTCAGTTTGAAATTCAGCTGCCAAAGTCCTTAGAAGATTCTCACACTCCCTCTCTGACTGGTGTCTCCACACGCCTCCTCACATGCTCCCTGACCTGTGTGGTATCTCTAGTTCCCACTCCCCAACACGTGCAGGGCCTCTCATGCACCTTTGTGCACCCACTCCAACCCTCCCCTCTCCAACCTATTCAGTGCCTCTGTGAACCCCCTCACATGCTCAAGCAACCTTCCAACCTTTGTATCTTTGTGCATCCTACCTGATCTCCACTGAGTCTCTCTCACCCACTCTTACCCTTGGGTATCCTCCTAGACCAGGAGTATGAAACTCAAGGCCTGCAGGCCGGATTTAGCCCGCGGGGTCTCCCTGGAAAGTGAAGGAGTGGCCTGGGCTGCCTCTGCCAGCAAAATGGAGCTCAGGAGGGTGCCCTCCCAAGTTTCCTTTTTGCTGGCAGATAGTTTCAGGAAGCCCTCCCAGCTGAAAACGAAGCAGGAGAGGGCCGTGCATGCCCTTCTCCCCCCGAGCTTCATTTTTGTTGGCAGAAGGTTGCAGGAGGCTGTCCCGGCCAAAAACGGAGCTTAGGAGACCATTTCACTGCCAGAGCGCTTGGGCTGCCACAGGCATCCCTGACACGAGTAACATCAAGTTGGCCATGCCTGGCCCAGCCCCCTGATATGGCCCTCAATGAAATCGAGTTTGACACCCCTATCCTAGACCTTCCCTCTCACCTTTGTGTATCTTCCCCATGCCACACCTCATGTGTATCTTCACTCTGTCCCACACCTTGCAGCAGCCATTTTACCTGCCTGAAGATTTGAGACTTACAACTTCATCTCAGCTTCCCCACTGATTTTTTCTTGTGGGAAGCCAGGCTGGAAGTTGCCTGGCCTAATAACCCTGGCATTCAGTTAACGACGTCAATCAGGACTGCAGGGACTGCTGCTGCCAAGTGATGTAGCCATGGTTTATTTCTATATCACTTAGCAAAGGAAATTCTCCCAATAGCTGTCATAAGTTGAGGACTACTTGTATGAAAATTCTTGAGGTTTCTCAGTCATAAGGAAAAAAAAATGAATGTGACTGAAGAAGAAAACAGACAGGATGGAAGAATGAATGGGTTGAGAAGAAACCCAAGGAATTGGAGCTGATGAAACGGGTGATACAAACAGTATGAAATACCATACATATATGGTAGAAGCAAAGAGGATTTGCAAGGATAGCAGTATCTGGCGTGAACAGCATTAGTATAAAGTAGTTTTAAGTAGATCTTTTATTATCTATCCCTTTAATGTCTTCAGCTTATTATTTTCTTACTGCAGTTCTTCACTCTGCACTACCCTGCCAACTTCAAAAAGGGAACAGTGTGATATGTATGTGAGTACCAAACCATATGGAAGTCAGAATTTAATTCACATTCCTGCTATCAATATCTGGAATGTGACTTAAAGGATCTATAATTTCTTAACATGTAAAAATCAAACTTATATTGGCTTATTTAGTGATTTTTTTAAAAAAAAAATCAAAATGCAACAGTTTATATGCAAGAAACATGTTTACTTCTCCTTTTAATTATTCAGAGCAAAGGAAGTAGAGTGCATTGGTGATCTGTGTGAACCATTCCAAAATGCTACAATGTGTACTTTAAAAAAAAGTCTACCATATTCCCTTAAGACACAGAGATGAAACATTTTTGTCATTGTGTTACATACACCATTGCAATGTTTTTATTCCTCTTTGTAAAGAAAGAGGCGTTTCTTTCTTTCTCGTCACTCATGTCTTTTTAGGAGATCAAGATCTTACCTTCACATCTTGCAGCTGAGTATGAATATCCTGATGGGATCTCCTCAATTGTCTGTTTTCTTCTTGCAGATTGTACATGGATTCTGTTTAAAATTCAGTGTAAAAAGGTGTTTGAACAGACATAACCTTGTAGGAGGAATTCTAATTGATTTATGTTTTCAAATATTAACTAAGTCAATGCTAATCTGCATAGACCTGTCTTGCCCGCCCCACCTGCTGTATCAAGCTGCAAAAATCCATAATTCATTCCTCCCAACTAGCCAAATGAGGTCTGGCTCTTCAGGATGGCCTATGTTCCCCAATTCCAAAATTACTTAAACAGAATCTCTCTATACCAATGATGGCTAACCATTTTGGCACTGAGTGCCCAAAGTGCGCAAACGCACCCCCAAAATGCAATGTACCCTGCCCCGCCCCCTGCATGCATCCCGCCCCCGGTGCATGCGTGGCAGAGAGCCGAAGACCAGCTGGCCGATGGGAGGCTCACACGTATCCGCGGCGGAGCTGAGCTGGGACAACATGCCCATAGAGAGGGCTCTGCATGCCACCACGCTGTATACCTTTTAACTTGGACAGCGCCTGCTCCTTTTCTTGCTGTAACTGCACATATTTCTGCTTGTGGTCATCGACTGCTCGGTTGAAATCATCTCCCTGTCTCCTGTGCTCGTCTTCCAGATCTGAGTGCTGTTTCTTTAGTTCTTCATGCTGGCTCTGCATAGCACAAAACCAAAACAGACAAAACACCACAAAGATTTCTTGATCTATGCAGCTGCCCAATTTCGTCTTGATTTTCAATTCAGCATCAGGCCAAGGGTGAGGCAATGATCATTGGAAGGGGGTGGTGGTGCTGTGCAGTGTTGATGGAGGTGCTCTCATTTCTGGCCTATTTTTTTATTTTGATTCCCCCCCCCCTTTCTGTTCAACCATGTCTGATTCTCAGAGACCAGCACAAGTCCAAGTCTCTGCAGTTTTTTGGGTGTGGTTTTTCAGAAATGGTTTGTCATTGCTACTTTTCCTAGGGCTGAGAGAAAGTGACGGGCCCAAGGTTATGCAGTTGGTTTGGTGCCTAAGGTGGAACTAGAACTCATGGACTCTCTGTTTCTAGCCTGACACCTGTCTTTATTTTGATACTTCCGACATTTTTTAGAATATAGCCTCTGCCCACCGAAAGGATAAGAAAAAATTTGAAAAAAAGTTTCAACCCATCTTAACCCAAGGTTCTTCAAACTTGGCAAGTTTAAGATTTGTGGACTTCAACTCCCAGAATTCCTGAGCGGACATGACTGGAGGAGGAATTCTGGAAGTTGAAGTCCACAAGTCTTAAAGCTGTCAAGCTTGAAGTCCCCTGGTTTAATCCTACCCTGCTACACATGCTCTTCCTTCCATCCTTTCTTTTGTGCTTTCCTCCTGCAACATGTACATTAGTAGTAATAATATCATAAATGAAGCACAGGAAGAAAAGGGAAGATGGAACCCTGTCACATTAAGATTGAATGACAGTTTAGCATCACTGGAATTTCAGATCAGCAAATTGCTCAGAATATTTTTGAGCCTAAAAATCCCTTTTTGAAATTGTACTATCTCAAAAGGTCCCTGAGGTTTATTTAAACTCCAAACCATAAATCCCCAATTACTTTCCGTATTTATACGTCAAATATATGAAATGTTTGTGGGGGTCTCATATATGAAAAATATCTTTAATTCTCCTCAAAGTACAAAGAAATTTGAGGTGATGATGAGATGGAAAACATTTTGCGATCAGGAAGCCGGCCTTCTCATAAAATCCCAGAAGACTCATTGAAGTCAAAAAAGATGTTTTTAACTGGAGATTTTTGACAAATGCTTAATAGGACTAGAAGCCTAATTTCATCATCATCCACCCATCATCTTCTATTTAAAGACTGGATAAAGACAGAGGCAGGCCTATTTTCTGTAGCTGAAAAGGGGAGCAGAAGGTAGATTCAATGGTGCTATGATATTCTGAGAGATTTCAAGTTCAGCGTGTGAGTTCTTCAGTTCTTCTACAGTTTTCAAGTTAAACCTTGCATTTAATGGCATGGAGTATTCTAATATTAAGCAGACAAAGAAATTTAGCATGGGCACCCTTGTTGAACCCATATGGTAGCCACATGGTTCAGGAAAAGTTTGGCACACATTGATCGTAAAGCACCTTTGCCAAATTTACTATGGCTATTTTTATGGATTTTACCTAAAACGTCCTTTGTTTGCCAGGAAACTGCATGTGAAGGATGGGGCCTGTTAAGGGCTATAAATTGCCTACCATTGGGGGTAAAAACAACTCAAGTATCTACCTTCAGCATCTGATGTTGTATGTTCAGTGCACTGTATCTGCTATTGGAATCTTGCTGCAAAACAAAGGAGCAAAGAAACAAAAAGAAATAGACAGTTAGATGAGGCCTCGACTGCTTTTGGCATTCTCTGAATGCTATGGAAATTGCAAACTTGTTCTTGAATTTGCCCACAGAGGTGCACAGGGAACAGATTTTAAGCTGCATATTGGCTCAGTGCTGTGTTAAAAGTGTTGAATTCAATTGCTAGAGGTCCCAACTTGGGGAGGTTCAGGGATGTAGACATCCAGCATTTCTAGACAACACTGAAACAAATCTGGATTACAGACGGACTGAAGATCCAGGGGCTGAAATCCAATCATCTAAAAAAACATCACAGCAGCGAAGGCTTATTGTAAAGCTTGCCCATATGCTTGTCTGCCATATTTCTCTGTTCCCTTATATCAGGGGTGTCAAACTCGCGCCGTCATGGCATCGTCATGTGATGTATCGGGACTTTTTTCCCCTTCGCTAAACCGGGCGGGGGTGGGGCCAGCACATGATACATTCGACCCATGGCCCATGAGCTTAACACTCCTGCCTTATATGAAAGCCATGAATTATCCAGGGATCCTACTCACAACTGCCTAATCTGCCTCAGGGTGGGTCATATTGGTGAAATGGCACAAGTACAGCCCCTCCCCCCAAAAAAAATCCTGTTTAGAATTGTCACAAAAGGACTAGCAACTTTCTTGCATTCGCTACTGTTGGCATCTCTTTGAGAAATGTGTCGACATGGATTACTTTCAATTCTATTCCTAATTATCCCCAACCTGGATTTATTTATTTATTTAATTGTCCATTACCAGATCATTTTCTTGGGAGGTTGCCAGCATCTCAGATCTCATCATGGCATACAATTGAAAACTCCCCCATTGTAGGATTTATGCTTATTTTGAAATCATTTTAGCAGTAGCAATAGCACTTAGATTATTATACTGCCCCATAGTGTTTTACAGCATCTCTGAGAGATTTACAATTTCAGCATATTGCTCCCAACAATCTGAGTCCTCATTTTACTGACCTTGGAAGGATGGAAGGCTGAGTTAATCTTGAGCTGGTAAGAATCAAACTGCTGGCAGTGGGCAGAGTTTTAGCCACTGTGCCACCAGGGCTCCTAAATTTTCCATTTTAATAATTTTTTTTCTATTTTAGAGTATACTTTTGAAAGTAATGTGGTATCACCTTGAACAACATTGTTCCTCCAGTTCAGGCATTCTTAGTGAGGCATCAATGTCTCTGAGGAAATCTCATTTGTCATCTGCCAAGCTCCACACCCCACCTGACCTTCTACATTTTTTTTTAATGTAAAGCTATCATGTTGTACAAAATCGCTTCCAGCATAATTCTTATTTTTAAAAATACATCTGGGCTCCCATTGGACTGTACATGCTTTTTCAGAAAATAAAAGTGTTGGATAGCTGAAGACCAATTTTTCCATTCAGAAATGACTTCATCTGTCCCCCTCCTTCCCAAACAGTAAATTGTTAAATGGGGTTAACTTTACAAGAAAAGAGATCTGGGGAATCCCAGGATTCTGGGAAAGGAGTATTATTTATTTGATTCCATTATCCATGGGACCTTTTTATGAATAGATAAAATCACTCCTTCTCAGCAGCTATTTTGCAAAAACACCAGAAACATTTTCAGAATTCCAAACTACAGTCGATTTGGTGACACACTCTAGATCATTTATAATATTTAAAAGCATCAATCCCAGTACTAGAATCCTGGAGGATACCATTGTTTAAAATCCTTCTTTTTCAGGAAGTGACTATATATTTAAAGTTATTCAGAATTCAGACAATTCTTGGAATTTTCAAAGGGTAGAGGCTTTGATAAAATTCTTACGTGCAGAAAAACTTATCAATTACTTCTCTGACTTACCCTTCCTTTATTTAATGTTTCTTGTGCTTCTAATTTATAAACAAGAAAGTCTAAAATACAAAAATGAAAAGGGGAAAATGAATGATCTTCAGGAACATATACATAAATAAAACCCCAGAACCACAGCTACTCTCTCTGGAGGTAACTCCAGCTCAAACTTCCTTTCACTGTCAAGATTTCACATAGTAATTCAGCCATACACAATTTCTCTGCATTCAATTACCATATACCCTTGAGCAGTACCTGAGAACTGATAAATATGGAAACTGACTCTGCCTGTGGTTAGTCCCCCCTCAAAAATTTATGGCACTTGGCGCCAGTTAAAATCAATAGCACTTCAGTCATGATTAAAATAGATAACAACTAGGTTTAAATGAGATTCATGCAAATTCATGAGATTTGAAGTGAGTGCATCAGATATCCAGGTATGGATAGTGTGATGCAAATGCAATACTGTAGTTCATTCACAAAAACATGTATCTAGCTATCCTTGTGTGTAAAGAAACTAGTTTTCAGTCTATAGATATTCTCAGTCATCCAGGTCATGGTTATCCCAAAGGTGCTTTTCAAGAGGCAATTGGACTTTTTCTTTGGTTTTTCTTTGAAGACATTTTCCTTTCATCCAATAAACTTATTCAGCTCTTTTCAGTTTAGCTTTACTGAGAGATAAAATCCCTTAATCTCTGGAAAAGGGCACTAATGACTGACTCAACCCTCTACCAGACCTATAGTTCAGTCTGCACCTGATTTTTCAAATATCCAGTTTTCAAATACCAGAATGTTCACTCTTAATTGGATTGCTACCATGCCTATTGTCATTTTTGGCAGAATAGGGTCACCAGAAATTCAGCCAGACTGAGTGGTTGGCTCCATCTTGTTGAATGAGATACAGAATATGTCTCTGTTTGCAGAGAAATGGTTTCAGATAAAATGAGTTTTATCCACTAGATGGTGGTAAGAAACCATAAAACAATCAGCTCTTATCTGCATAGCTGTGGAAATCTCACCCAACCACCACCACCAAGAGCATTCAAAAGCCCGTCATTTTTAAAAAATACAGTTTCAATCCCGGTCAACTTTAAAGAAGCATACCATCTTAAATTGCCTATCGGAATTCTTATACTACAAACAGCATTTCTCCACTGATAAAATCTTTTAAAATTCATCTGAAATGTAAATATTACCTTCTTTTGCTTTCTTATGTTCAAGCCTTTCTTTCTGTAAAGATTTTTCTAGTCGTGATCGATGTTCATACACCACTGAAAAAGAGAGAGAAATTGCAGGGAAGCTGTTCAACTAAAAAAGAAATATATATTTTAGGAAGGGTAAGAATGAAGATTCCCAGCAAGTAGCAAGCAGTTGGCCAATGTTATCAGGGCTCAGAAAGTAACTTAAGATAGGCCAACCACACTACATCCCTGTGGTTATTGGCAGTTAAACTTTACTCAAAGACATTTTTGTCTTTAAGAGCAATGAATATAAACTATCCAAAAATTTAAATGTTTTGAAAATGGGTGTATGAGGGAACATGGAGGGAACACAATAAAAATTTATGCACCAAGCAAAATATTCTACACATTCAAGTTGATACTTAAACAGACGATGGTGGATTGTACCCACAACATTAAATTGCTTTAGCTTGACATTCAAATTTAGAGATAGTGGATATATAGTGAAATTCAGTTCTCCAGCAATTGCACCAATTGCATTTGCTTGTTTGGTGTATGGAGAACATTTCAAATGTGAAATAAAACACACTCTCCAAGCAACTGAGTTGGACTTCGAACATTTCAGATTCCAATGTTTTCAGACCCCTGTTGTTCAGGTGTATATGTGAGTACACACATGCACATACAGAAGAAATCTTTCACCATATTGAAAAAGAATAAAGATTATCTTTTGTATCCAAGAGTCTGAGCTCACAGCCTTAGTTCAAAAGCTCTTTTCAGAAAATTTTGACAAGCACCAAAGGAGTGAGGGTGGGGAGCTAGGAAAGCTGGGGACTGTGCATGAAGCAACAAGCTTTGTTGTACCCATTCTCCAGATCTCTCAACTTCCAGACTTCTATGTAAAGAACATGATGACATAAGGCACTTACAGATAGGTTTAGAATATCTTAGTGCAACTTGGAACCCTGGATAAATAAGGCTTCAAACTCAGAACATTTTGCCTACTTCTTAGTTTTGCATTAAACTTTCTAAATGCCTTTTGAGTGCAAGTTATAATATTGTGGCCATAATGTATCCAGTATTTGTAACAGCATGTTCATCACTATTGGGCAGAGGTATTGCACCATGTATGTAATCTCATAACATATGTTAAAAAAAGGGTGGTGGTGTCTCGATTATGCAATGCTAATGCTCTTGGGATAGGAGTATCAGAGTGATTGACAAATCACTTCAAAATGTCATTCAATTTCAGGTTAGTATGATATGTGGACCCACCCACTCTAGTTCATGCTTCATGGCCCAGTGTTATCTGGAAATCAGGTCACAATAGATTGCTCTATACACTGTGCTTAAAACAAGCCAGCTCAGCACAATGTGTGAACCTATCCAAAACAGGATCATAAGCTTTACATTCAAGACTATTGATTGGGTCTGGCTGCTGATTCATTTCCAAGCCCTAATCAAAGGCTTGATAAAAGGCTTTAAAGTCCCAAATGGCTGAATATCTGGATGAATGCATGCATCGTTCCATTGTTCTCCTACTGGCACTGTAAATGAAGTCAAATGGATGTTTGTAAGGCACAAGGTTTCAGATGTAGAAAATTAGACAGGGAAGTGTCAACTTTCAAAACAAAAGTTTGGACTTGGTTGGGATCATTACTCGGAACCATGACAGGAAGTCTATCCGGCATACATATATACACATCCAAAAATGAGCATTTTTTATCACAAGCATTTTTTAACCTAACTTTCGAGTTCCTGAGTTGCTGTGGTATATATAGTTTATGAGAGTTAAATGCCGAGCCCAGTTCAAGAATCCTAGAATGGGAAAAGGAGATTTTGAATTTGAAATATCCTATTTCAGAGCAAAACTTTGGCTTCGATTCTGAAAAGAGCTGTTGAGACTTTTGAAATTTGAAGTAGAAATGTTTGGAGTTCAGAACAGTCTCCAAATGCTTGCAATGATTCGTTTTGCATCTGAAACACTATCCTGCATCAATCCAGAAGTTTAGAACTTAAAATAAGATGTACTGAGCTCAAAACAGAGGGTTTGAAATTGTCTTAATTTGAAAGATTCTTTACATTCCTAGAGAAAACAGAGTGTTCTCTAGGCCATCCACTTAAGATGCAAATTATCATTTGGTTTCTGCTGTATTGCTTTGTTTTCTTGCAAATGATCTGTTGTAGATGACTGTACTTTGTTCAAATTTTCCATATGATTTCAATGAAATTGTGTAACTGCAGGTAGTGCAGATGAACTGGAGAAACAGGATACCGCTACTAGTTTTATGAAAACTACTAATTTCCCTTGAAGAGGTCTAAATCCATAAATCATTCTTACTAAAGAGATAAAGGCTAAAAGGAATGGAGTCCGTCATGCTTCTACAACTCAATTTCTTTATGTAAATTAATATAATCCTGTACCATTTCAGAGTCAAAACAATTCACTCAGTTCAGAGTTCTGAACTTCCAGCTAAAGAGTCCTCAATGTAACATGGAAGTTTTCAACTATATCAGGAAAATATCATATTGATAAAAAAAAATATCAGCAGCATAAAGCTAGATATGTCATTCAAAAGGACCAATGTTATAAGAGCATCATGGGCAACTTATAAAGGGACTCTGAATGAACAAATAATATCAAAGCTTGGTGCCTTTTTCATTTATGTTAGTTACATACTTTTTGCTATTGGGATATGCAAAATAATTACCCAGTTCAAGTCAATTCAATTAAAGGGATGATTTAGGGTCAGGGTCTAATCAGGGTTTAGTATTTCATTAAATGATCAAAGCTGATTTGGACTAGCTCTGTCCTACATCAATTTCAGGACTTTGACTTATCACAGTGAAGTTCTAATCATGCAGATTTTTAGAGTCACATCATATTCTGCTCAAACAAAATATTTGAAAGCCTCTGCAAGCAAGTCATTGATGGCTTTCAGTCTGAAAACCATACAAAGCCATTTCTAGAACTCTGAGCATTCAACAATCCAGTTAAAGAAGAACAATGGAGGTGATCTGGAACAACAGTGAATCCTTCTAGGAGTTACTGTCCTGACAAAATCATTCCAAAAGCTCAGCATAAAACTACACAGGTATTCACAAATAATGTCTAGGATCTGTAGGGCTCTCTTATCTTGACTGAATGTTCACAACTCCATCATCAGAGTAGCACTGGGTAATTATTTATGAAGAGTAAGACAGCAGAAGCCACAGTTCACTTATGTTCAGCTTAACTTTTTCAAAAGGCCACTGGATTATCTTCCATACTTCAAAAGGAATATTCTATATATAGATGAGCCCAAAGTGAAAATTTTGGGCTCCACAGATATAATATATTCTAGAACCCAAGCATTAAATTGCACAGCAAGAACTTTATAACAACTGTCAATTGTGGGGATGGTCATATCATGGTTTGGGGATGCCATGCTTTTTTGGAACTGAAACTTATTATTTTTTTAATATAATTTTTATTGAAACTTTCAAATAAGAAGATATAAACTAACAGAACCGAACACAAAGTAGGGGAAAAAGAAAGAAATCAAAGTAAAAGCAAAAGTGCAAGGAATTTTTTTTTTTTAAAGTTGAAGAAAATTAGATACAAAAGAAAAATATATAATGAAGTGGCTTCCAATATATTTCATAACAGTTATAAGTATAAATATACATTTAACCTCTCTTTCTAAAATACCATTGTATTACTTTTCTTTCTATAATATAAGCATAAACTCTGTTTTATATTAAAGAATTTCACACAGGAGAATATCAGACTATCTACCTATCAGCTGAAGTGCAAGCGAGTGATGTACCCAAAATGTACAAGCAAATCTAAGCAGAGTAAATGAAGAGCTAATTAAAAGTTTTAGAATAATGAAATCCAAATCCAGGCTTAAATGCCCTTGAAACGTTGAACAGGATTTGAAATGAATAGTTCATTTTAGAAAATCTTAAAAATGTTACCTGTTTGAAGCCATTTGCCTCTGAAAAGGGGAACAATATTTTTACAGTGATCTGAAATACTGTTCATCGGTTACAGGAAATCTTCAATTAAAGTTATTGCAGCTAAATATGGTGCAACTATAATTCCTTGTGTTTTCAAATTGACACATTAGACAAATGTTTGCCTCAACTTCAGTGTCATTTGTTCACTTAGATTCTATTTATAGATGAACTACCATGAAGCTTTACATAATATTCAATGATTCAAAATTCAGAAGGGGCAAAAAAATATTCACAGATCTTAACATTGTTCTGTTGACCTCATGTTTATATTCCAGGCAAAGTTGCAGGAGCACAAAGTTGTATTGCACTAAGATCCTGGTATGCAGATTCTACCTTTGTATAATTTATGAAATACTACAAAATCTCTGAAACATTTATAATGAGCTAAGCTTATTGGAATGTTTCTAAATTTTGTACTGTACTTTATTATCATATTTTTTAATTTTCATTTTAATGGAGATTCCAATAGACAAGTTTTACTGGAATATAAAAGGTTCTTTCTTAGCCTTCATCTATCGAAAGTCCCTTCTAATTCTTCCACCTAACAAACTAATGATTTATTTAAAAAGGATATTTATTTTGAGTATAGCACAAAATATAAAATTACTGCATTAAACTCTTTGCATGTACAGCTCTTTAGATCACTACAGATTTAACAGAATGATATAGATTGAACCTAAGAATTATTACATCTTTTTAAAATATCTTTTTGGGATAAGTCCTGAGATGCTTATGAATTTTGTTTGAGAATAAAGACTTCTAAAATCAGTATTAGGTAGATGTATCTACTGTGTATATGCTCCAAACCCCACACAAAAACAGAAACAAACAGGCCATCTATAAAAGTAGAATCTCTGTTTCCCCAAAATTTTCCACTTGGCAAAAGAAGCTCCTGAAAACCAAGAGCTTATTCATCCCTTTCACATTCTCCTTTCTCCTTGCCACAAGGCCTGGCCAAGTTGTTCAGCCGAAAGGATGCTATTAGGAACTTGCAAGTTGTTGGTTTCTATAATTACATTGCCATCTGAAAATCAATCTTCACAGGATAGATAAGATTTAATTTATTATTCCATATAAATTTAATAAAA